AGATATTTCATTCATGAACTGTCGGATATTAAATCACGTGAGACTTCCTGAAATCTCGCGAGAATTCAGATGTCCGAGGAAAAATCTCGCGTGATCTCCAGAGACATGAGTTCAGAGTAAATAAACATTTGCAACAAGGAAGAAACAACGTTGATCGTTTGTGGACTATTTTTTACCAGAGGAAAAACAATTTCATAGGACTTTTAACATCCAACAGACTTTCTGGTGAGTCATGACATTTTTTGTTTATGTCACCTCGCTTTCTGATTGGCTACACATCTCATTCACAGGCTGAGAGCTCGGGGTGAACGCCACACACGGGGTGATATCGGGCCAAAAAATCAAACATCATAATCATTATCACTAATGGAAATATTAGACATATTTACAATATCCAAATACTATTTTTAATACAGGCTATTCTCATATTTTTACATATCATTTTAATACATGAAAATAATTTTATTTGATTACAAAAATAAAAAATACGGAAGAAAGTTGTTTCAGTGCTGTCTTGTATGGAATATCCTTTTCATATTTTTGAAGTATGAATAATTAAAGTAAAAAGCAAATGGGGCATAGCATGTATTTTCAGATTTTACCAGTTTTGTGTCTAAGCAGTGATTTTGATATTTATTGTAAAGAAAAATCACATTATAAACACTTTTTAAACTATTCCAAGGTGACCTAAATGGTAAATTCTGACAAGTAACTAGGAATGTCCTGATCAAGTTTTTTTTTGTCCAATCTACTCAACTGAGTCCTTCAAATACACTACTCATAAAACGTTAGTAATATATAGATGTTGGGTAAAATTTCAGGATGAACATAAAATGCAGTATAACCTTGACAGATGAACTTACTGTGACCTTGTCTGAATCTTTGAATGTACTTGTCCAACTGTTCAGCTTTTCAGTAATTATTGCACAACTTGCTATTCTCAAGGAGCTTTACGGCAATTTCACAACAGGTGTTTCACTCTTAACCCGAATTAGTTGACTTTACTAGAAATTTGTGAGGAAACCCATTGCCTGAAACCATTCTAGTTTTTACACAATGATGAGACTAATCAGGTTTAGTTGTGTTAACTTAAGAACTTCAACACCATTGAATTGAAGTTCTTAAGTTAACACAACTAAACCTGATTAGTCTCATCATTGTGTTAAAACTAGAATGGTTAAGGCAACGGGTTTCCTCGCAAATTTCTAGTAAAGTCAACTAAATCGGGTTAAGAGGGTTACATGATTCGATCAATAAATTTCCTGGATCCATGAAAAAACATTTTCATCAATAGAACCTGGACAAATTATCCCTAATTTTTTGTGAGTGTATAAGTGGTTTAAGGACAGAGTGTATAAGGATTGCTTGAGTCTCGACCCAATACTTTTGCAGTAGGGGTTAGAACTGTTGCCTCACAGCAAGAATGTCCTGGGTTCAAGCCCAGGGTTGGGTCTGGGGTCTTTCTTTGTATGTTCTCCATTAGGGCTGCCACAAACGATTATTTTTATAATCGATTAATCACCGATTATTTTTTCGATTAGTCGACTAATCAGATTGTATATTAATTGAATATAAAACATACAGCTTATCGCGCCAGAATGCAGCTGCTATTATATAACCATCGTTAGATTTTAGCTATATGCTAACTAAAAATAACTGCTGTGGAAGGCAAGTTCTGCTCTGCAGATATTGCACAGGTTTCTCTTTCATTTTCTTAAAATGATCCCACACTTTTGAGCTCCGTTGCTGGGTAGCCATGATACCAGAGCCTGTCTGTATAATGTCTTGTGACGTCCACGGCCTACCCCAGGAACAACAACAACAAAAATAAAACGATTAATCGATTATTAAATTAGTCATCGATTATTTTAACAATAGATTAGTCGTCGATTAATCGAGGC